GACTCTGTGACTGCAGTCAGCGATGGTACTAACGAGGCAAATATTTAGCCTCCATGTCCATACTCTGCAGAGGGTCAAGTAAAAGCAGATCATCAGGCCCAAAGGCCTGCCAGGAGCATCCGTACCTGTTTTATTTCGGTTGTACTAGTCTCATTATGGCCTTACTGGTTCCTTTTCCTTCCAGGTGGCCGCCAGTACTAACATCCTCATAAACGAGACTACCGGAGAGCTGAAAATCCTCCGAATGGAACGGCAGATGCGTGGAAAGTGGACCTGTGTGGCGGAGAACCAGGCGGGAGCCACACGTCAGTCAGTCAACGTGGAGGTCGGCTGTAAGTTGTGTCTGGGTCATTGCTTCTCAGTTTCGGTGAATCTCTGCTCTAGAAGACTTCATGAACGATGTGGGCATAGAGAGTTTCGCAAAATAGTAGGATTTAGGCTAAATTCTAGTCATAGCAGTAGGCGATTCGCATACACACAACCTTGGTATCCCTTGAAGGCCTGGCGCATCTTCTCATCCATCACCGGACCAGTAAATGAGCCAAACTCTTGTCGAATCGAACTCAATTACAAGCTCAGCAAATGTTACCCTACTTGAAACACGGACGTCTGCCGAATTGGTCTTTGCTAATCTTTATCTTCATCCCACCGACAGATCAGTCTGTCCTTGTCAGGTTGCCTGAATCTGGATACATCCACGAATTAAGTTCCCAGCTTAGATCAGCATTTAACAGCGCAAGCATTGCCATCCAATGCCTACATTGTAGCCTCCAGATGTAATATACTCTCTTTATAATAATTCATATTCGCCCAGTAATGTATATATTATATGGTGTCCATCAATGCCTTAACACGACACGTCTTCTCACTTGGTGCATTCACGACTCTGCCTCGCTGTCAAATTAGTACTTTAGACTGTGGAAATCACTTGGTTGCCAGGCTAAGTTTGTCCATCTAACTGATCTACTTCTCTCTCCCAACCCCACTTCATCCATGCTCCGACTTCCCATGATCTCAGACGCGCCCACCGTGACCGGAGACAAAATCACCGTACAGGTGACAACCGACTTCCTCTCGATGATGCAACTAACCTGCCCAATCACTGGACAACCTCCGCCACAGGTGAAGTGGTACAGGGTACGAGGGGGCGAGAAGTTGCCTATAGCCTACGGGGAACGCTACCAGCTGCAAGAGAACACCCTGGTGATTCAAAGTAATTTCCGCTACCTAATCTTGCCTCAAACGCTTCACGATGCTTAGTCACCAGGGTTCACATAGGCGCAGCCTACCAGCCCTTGAGATCCCCAAACTCCCAAGATATTGAATGTCAAGGCGTCCTCTTAACAACGACGGCCTATGCTATGACTTACCTCAATCCAGCTCCAAATCGGGAGGTGTAGGACAAAGTTGTCTTCTTGGAAAACAAATAATGGGTTGATTAATTAAGAGATCAAAATTAGGTTCAAGAAGTGAGTAGATGGGTAGTGTGCTGGCGAAATATCTTATGAGCAAAAATTGTTGTCTAGGCAACACGAAATTGAGGAATAGCAGATCGGTAATGCTCTCAAATGTGCGAACCGATTCATTACTGGCATGACCATAATTGGGGTCTGTAATTATCCCACGACAGCTTGACTGCTCAATTGGTGCTGGGAAGAGGGCAAACTTGATCATTCAAAGGTAGCATATGCGAATAAAAGATGGGTTTTCAGGATTCACTTGGTTCATAATTGTTGAGTGTACTTCCATTTCAAGTTAAAGAGCTTAATGAAGAGATTCAAAATTCGATATCGCAGGAAGACGACGGCAACTTCGTCTTGACCAACTGTCGATTGGCATAACTGGAACATTCTTGTTGATGCTGTTCCCGAGACAATCTCCTTCGTATGACTTGTTGACTTGCATACGGTTGTAAATATGATGCCCTGCTGTAATAACATCCGTTCTACGTCTTCACCGAAATCGAAGAAGATTGCCTCGGAAACAGTGTCGACAATAACTTTCCAGTAAAGTCAATTGGCAGCCATTTCACGACATTTGTCAGTAACCAAATCAAAAGTTTTATTAATCCTTTCGTAAGCCAACTTGCAGAGGTGTTGGTGCGCATTTACGGTCTGATGACGTCTGTCACAACAGGACAGACGTAGCTTAATACAGATTCATCGGTGTCGCCAGAGTCACTCTTCCAAGGCAATCCTCCTTCGGGTTTTGTTATCGCCAGATCACAAGTTCCTTCCAGCCAGTAGCATTTGATGCGTACAACTTTTAGCCTCCTTACAGGCATGCTTTATCCACGTCTGAACATCTCATATGGCACAATTTGCCTCTGCAAACCGTCACCAACTGTACGAGGCGGAACACTAGATACTTTAGGTTTGTATTAGCCTCAAATCTGGAAACGGTTAAACCAGATGGACCGAACTGCATTTGGCCACATTTTGCCTGTGCGGCCAAAACCGTCGATCGATTGATCAATCGATCGAGGGCCTTACTGGGCCTGGCTTGTTTACGTTTCAAAAAGTTGCCGATCAATTCGAGCATGCCTAATTGGCACCAGTTAAGGTGAAAGAAGTGGACCAAACTACACCTGTCACAATTTTGCCCGTTCAACTGAGATAGGCAAAGACTGTCGATCGATCGAAGGCCTTATCAAGCCTGGCTCTTGGGCATTCTGAAGAGTCGCCGATCGATTCTAGCATGCTTCAACGCGCCTTGAACTAACGAGGTGTACACAGGAGGCGATCCAATTTCGTGACAGCATGGCAGCCTCTCATCGGCTGCCATCTTTTGCTTTGCTTCTTCTTTCTTACTCTTCATTTGTGCGCTACTCCGTCTCTACTGCTTGCGCCGTGTAGATTCGTTTCTCGGCGCACTGCCCCGTGCATTGACCATGATTTATAGATTCAAGCGCCTCGGTGGCATGTTGCTGTCACAAGCAAGACCAGCTTTTCAGCCCAC